GTTTATTAAATTTACCTTTAAAGATTGATTGAATTAAACAATTATCTTGAAACCAAGGCTGAATTTTGAAGGTAAGTGTAATCCAGTTCAGGGCTTAACATTTATATTATGCAGTAATGCGGACAAAGCCGTTTTTAACCAGATGGCAGCACTGGATCCCCTAAGCAGCAGGTTGATGCACCCATTACGTCATCTCTGAAACACAATACATACAATTTTGTACCAATTCATCAGGCCAAGATATTTTTCTACAGAATGAATAGAAGACATGTAGCCACCCTGATGTCCTGTTTTAAAGGGTCATGACTGAACTAGTGATTGAATCTTATCTGGAAACTATGTTGGGGCCCAGCTGTAGCTCTTTTTCTACTAATCAAAAAAGTTGGTGGTTCAATCCCTGGCTCTTCCACTCTGTATGGCAAAGTATTCTCAGGTAAGAAAATGCAAAGCACACAATTTCATGCCTAACTAAAATATGAACATGAACTTCTCAGCCTCTCACCAGCAGTGTTGGTTGTAATGCATTCCAAAGTAAAGTGTTAAAGTAACATGTGAAATGCACACTACAGAAACATGCTGTCCTGGATGCATGTTTCTTTTGCAACTTCAGCTCTTTGCAAACATCTGCACAGATAGCATGCTAATGCAAAGCTAGCCAAGAACCCAGAGTGATTTTGAAGTTGAGTGCATGCTAACCTCAGTCCAGCAGCCAGAGCCTAAGCTTCAAAAGGTAACAAAGGTAGTGATAAGTAGTCAGTTTCAGTCAGTCTGGCAGCATTGTAGCCTCCTTTTCTGCCTGTTTCTACCATAGAATCACTGCAGGAAACACTTGAAACTCCTTATGGGCTGATTTTTAGCTTTGCTCTGTGTTGCTCATTTTGTTTTCATACATAGAAAAAAATGTGATTTGTGTTGCTTTGTAGAACTGTAGCATCAGGTTTATACTGATATCTGGTAATCTGGTTTTAGATCATTTTACAGAGTAACACAAAATTTATTTTTCAAGTAGTGTAACAAATTACCTTCTCTGGCAAGTAATTAACCTACTTCATTACTTTAAAAAAAATGTAGCAAGTAAAGCGTAACACTTTTTTTGAGTAATGACACCAACTCCGCTCCCTGGTAATCTGAGCCTAAAATATGCATGCATATGCATGGAAGTCTGCACAGCCTGTGAGAGGCATCTCAACCATGTATGACCTTCCAACAAAGAAACTGTCGTTTTGGAAAAATCTGACCCCTGAACATGCAGATATCACTGAACTGTAAATATTCAAACAAGGGAAAATTCCCTCTCCAGTCTTATCATATGGAAAAATCAACCTGCTTGTTTTGGTTTGCACTCCACCTCCTTCATGTTTTACTTACTTTTTTTCTAACCTGGCATAGAGAATTGAGTCTGATTGTTTATTGAATCAAAAAGAGATTAAATGAAAATAACAGTGATAGGAGGTGTTCACATACTTGAGAGGCAGGTAGTAACTGCTAGTCATCCTTAATGCACAGCCTTACAAGAGATTATTAAAAGCTCATCAGTGATGCTTGTGAGCTGCTCATGCCAGTGATAGTCTTCTCTGGAGAAGCCTCGATTTAGCTCATTTGCAAAGAAAAACACTCCTAACTCATGTCATATCCGCAGTTTGACCGATTCACAGCTCCTGAGGGTTTCCTTAAGATAACAGCACTGGGTTCAGGCTTATTAAGGGTGGAAACTGGGCTTCTCCTACACTGGGCTTCATCTTACATCCACATGTTGGTCAGGAAGAGGCCGTCAAGCACTCAGCTCTGAAACAGGCCAGCTGTTCTCGAGCCAAAGCAGCAGAACAGGCCTGGGCTCTTGTCATGCCCTCGCAACAGCTCACTGACTCCCTTTTAGCTTCAAGTTTGTGTGAAGCTCTCTGGAACAATGACTATGTATCAGGGGGAACATCAGTGTTCATAGCCAGTTCAGCTGATAAAGGGTCGTTTTATGAGACTACTGACCTCAGTCATGCACAGATTTAGATTTGAAAGAAAATAAGCAGGATTTTACCTGCTGGAATCAGGAAAAGGTCCATGCACTATTTGCAGTACTTTGTGCTTTAAATCTTTGAGTTTCAACAAGGCATGGAGACTTGTAACTTTGTAAGACTGATAGACATTTTGTGAAAATAACAACAATACTGTTTTATAGCAAAAAGCCTTCTGACTCCAGCATCGTGTCAATTGTATAGCTACGAAGATGGTATCAGCTATCTTGTCTACCTCAAAAGTGTTAACCATACTTGTCAGAAATTGATCAGAAATTGAAATAATGTTTCAGTTAATACATAAATTGAAGATGATTTGGATGCTAGTGGGTTAGAACCAGACTAGATTGTTCACCTCCTGGCCTGCATAATGATCTTTTAACATTGAAGAAATTCTGTAGAATGTTCCATGTAGCCTGCAATTCTCATATAACATCATGAAGTGTTCTGCTGAAAATACAACGTCTTAACCTTTCTTTTAAAATCAGTCTTTTTTGACCCTTTCACAGTCGCAGCAGCAGTTCAGTCTAACATGGCTTTTAGGGTACAAATATCAGACTAAGCTTACAGTATTGGTTTTCTAATTGTCTATCAACCTATTTTGCAGATCTATTACCAATAATTTAGGGCACAAAGGTGGAGTTTGAGTCTAGTGACCAAAAGATGAAATTACAGCAAGAATAAGCTTCTGCCTTCAGATGGCTGAATGTAGTCTTTGAGACAGCATGAGCAGCTCTGATATCTGGGTAAAGCCATTTGTAGTGAAGAAGGCATTTGAGGTGGTTCTGGCTTCAAATCAGGATGTCTTCAGATTGTTGGGGGGTTTTAAAAACTTTTTTTAGGCATACCTCGCTGAAATTATACCCTAAATTTGCTAAAGGGTTAATATTTCTCACCTGGCTTATGGATCATCTGAGGATTTATTAGAAAAAAAATGGTCAATGTTGTTGTTGATGTAGTATGTCTAGATTACACTAGATAGCATGCTACCACTGGAACTACTGACTACTGGTGCTATTCAGAAAAGATGGATGGAAAAATAATTTTAAAAACTTGTCCATGTTTACACTGAGAAGATAAAGTATTGGAACCATTGCAGGAACAATACCCAATAGTCTAGAAACAGGACAGCGTGGGGGTGGGCACCATCTCCAAATGATTACAGAGAGAAACAACACACAGTGTCATATATGTGAATACTCCCAAACTTGAGTCATGTTCGGGCGTAAGTGTTTCTTTTTATGATGTGGCCCCTGAGAAGCCTCGAGGCTTTGGAAAACGCCTGGGACCCAAGCTCTTCCAGTTTACTATGTATGGAGTTGTACCAGCATAATTAGTTTCAGATGAACTTATTAAAAAGATTATTTTTCTTATAAAAAAGAATCAGAAGTGATGTTATTAATATGAAATGTATATAAGGCGTTCAGATCTTTTTTTTTTCTTCTTTTTTTTTAGATCATGTTTCTTAAATCTTTCCAATGTACAGAGAAGAAAAGGAAACCTTTTGCTTGAAGATTCAGCTGGCTGGAAAACGTCTTTTGAGGCAAACACATCCTCGCAGAGCAGGACTGATTTCTCCTCAAAAGTTGCCCAGTATCAAAATGTTGAGTGCACCAGACAGAAAACATGGGCGGTTTTAAATTCTGGATCAATGTGAAGCAGTCAGTGTCTTTCCAAAGTTAATAATTTCTTTCCTTTGAGGGCGTTTTACCTTTTTTTTTCTCAAAATGGCAATGATAATTACCACCGTGAATGAACATGACCACCACCATTTATTTCCTGTGTTTGACGGAGCACCGATTCCATTACACAACCATTATTTAGTCTATGAATTTTGCCAATGGCAATAAAAATCGAGACGATCTCCTCCACGATGGAACTTACACCCCTCAACACATTCATTCAGAGATGAGGCTGCCAGAAAACGGCAAAACTGCAAAAAGTGTCTCTATGAGCACACACTCTCCTCTTTGAGCATATTTAACATTTTTTCCTCCCATCTCAAATTGATTTGTTTGGAGAGACAAGTATGCATGCATGTGTTGTAAATTCCTTAATCTGTAAACCACAAATATCAACCACCTTGTAAATCTCTTTTAGTTCAACATGGCAAGAATTCTTTCTGTGCAGTAGAAGTTCTGCTTTTAATAGGCTATCGAGCAGATTATTATGGATATATTTAGTGCATGTTTTTTGGGGGGGTTACATTTTTGGATTATATGTTTCCTTTCACAGTTTGCGAATTTCCTCACTTTTAAACTGTACATGGCAAGATGTATGTGTCTCATTTTTTGCTGTGTACTGAGTCAGTACTGCACATGTGCAGATCTGCATATGTGCACATCCTCATATGTACCTTGAACTACTGTCTGATATTACAAATATCAGTGGTCAGTGAATATCATCTGAGTAGTTGAGGGAGTATGTATAGAAGTTGGATCCTGTTACTACTGTTGCCTTTATCTCTTGTGAACATTGTTTTGATATGTCAGTTGCAAATTAATTCCTGCCATAACCTGAAAAGACAGATTACAGTACACGCTGAACGCAGAACAATATTAGATTTCTGTCTTGACGTCATGATGCACATGAGGCGGAAAGGTGATTAAGCGCAAGGAGCCCGAGGCAGACTTCTGGGATCAGGAATGTCAACAACTGTGGCGTGTAGTGTCAGTGAAGTACATTGTAGAAACTGGCAGATTCCACTGACTTCCACCACTATCGCCCAACTACTTTGAACTGACATGAAGGTAAAACTCAACCACTCATTACAGCCAAGGTATGCATAAGAGCATCACTGAAAACGCAGCACAAGGACCCTTGAAGCAGATGATCTTCAGCAGCAGGTGCCACTCCTGTCAGCTAAGAACAGGAGGCTCACCTGGCTCACTAGTTCACCAAAATTGGAAAACAAAAAATTAGAAAAAGGGTGTGCTAACTGCCACAGTGATGTCACAGCAAGAATCCACTGACTGGGGCCTGTCTCTTTACCTTAAGTTTGCATGTTCTCTTTGTGCCTCCTTGGGTTCTCTCCGGATAGCCTGGATTCCTTACACAGCAAAAAGACATGCACAATAAGTTATTTAGTGACTATTAGGCTAATGGGTGTGAAAGAATGTAAAAGGTTCTCTTTCACTCCGTGTTGTAGGATGTACACGGCCTTTCACCCTATGCTAGCATATACTCCAGCTCAACAGCGACTCTGAATTGACTAAGTGGAAGAATATAGGTGGATGTAAACATGCTGAACACCTGCTTTTAATGATAAGAGCTCTATTTTACTAACCTCTAACCAATACTAATTTTCATTGATAGAACTCAATAGTTTTTAACTGTTAAATAAACATTGCAAAAGTTATGTTAAATCTGCAACGGTATTTTTTAGTCTTTTACGTGAAAAAAAAAGACATTTTCACAACAAAAGGAAAATTGTGGCTACTCACAGATACAAGGTTTTCATCATATTTTACATTAGACATGTTAATTCAGTCTGTTTGTAAATTAATTATATTCATGTATTTTAAATCAAAGGAAATTTCTATCAAATTAATCAGAAAAACACTGCTAAATTATGGATTTTTATAGTGTGTGACCCAACAGGCCTACTTTGTGGCGCTGCGTGGGTGGTTTCCTGCTGTTCTCTCGCTGGCTAAGGTGCCACCCACTTTCTCCTATGGAGCCAATGTGCAGTTAACTCCATTCAGCAATCAGCAATAGCTATAAAAGTTGGGAAGAGGTGCTGGCCAGCCCTGCTAGGCCAACTTCAGAAGTATAGTGAGTTACCAGGAAGTATCTGCCTTCTACTGCAAGTGAGAAGTGTTTTCGTTGGGTGATGCTCTAGTTCAGCTGTTTTTATTTCACCACCATTTAAGATTTGCTGCCTCCGTTCTCTTGTTTTTGGCTTTCATAGTTACAGAGGGTTTGCTATCTGTTGTAATAAACCTTTTCAATAGAATCTTGTTTTATTCATTGATTTGCTTGTTTTGGAAAACACAACATGACTCACTTCTATTCTCTGTCTATCCTTTTTATAGAAATAACAATCTTGAATATTGAATTTATTATGGAGATGCAATATGAAGAGATAATATTTCTTCATGCAAATTCAAATTGGATTCGAGCAATTAGCTTGTTTCCAGAAAAGAGCACTTGCACAGGTTATGCAAGGCAATGATTTCAGCATCTGGCAGAGTGAGTGATAAACCACTGGCACTGACTGTCTCTTTCAAGATGCATGATACAAACTCCTACTGGAGCACGGAAAAACAACACACATGGCTTGCATCAGCTAGGTTCAGCAACTTCAGATCCCAAGTCTTCCTGAAAAACTGCGCAGTGGAAGTGAAAAAGTATAATTGTCTTTCTCTCTTTCTCTCTCTACCTTTGAGTAAAACAGTTAAGAGGCCATCCCTGGACAAGTATGTTAGCCACTGCTCCCAGATGTGATGATGTTTTTGTGTAAAGTTACTTTGAATCAAGCAATCAAGGTCAAGTGGTCAAGATCTGTGATTTAAGTCAGGAGCTTGAATCCATTCATGCCTGCCACCTCTTGAATTCGTCCTGTTTTGGGTTTTTTTGAAAATGCTCAACTTTTTCTCAGTTTTGCTTCCACTGTTTGTTTGCTTTCCCTCTTTTTTTATAATTATTTGCCGTACTCCAACTAGAATCTTCTGTGTTCAGCAGTTCAGTCTCTTTTGTTTATGTACTCCTCTGCGTCCTTTTGTTCTCTGCCCAATTATCTGTTTACTCTGTCTAGTCAAGCATTCCAGCTGTGAGTGTTTCACTTGTGTTCTTTTGTTTCTAGTTTCTGTTTTCTTCGTGAATTTTTGTCAGCTGCCCTCTTGAATGGCCTTGAGATTTTTTTCCCCTTTGTGCTTGCCCCTTGCTCATCATCATGTGTTTGACCATAGCTTCGTAAGACCTGAATTTGGATATTTATGCTTCTCGTGTGCTTTGTTTGAATCAGTGCGTGCACACCGCATTCAGGCTCATATGACAATGAAGGAACCTGCCAAACTAATGCATGTTTTAGCCACTTGCGGTCAGCTGAAAAAAATCAATAATAGTGGTAGCTGTTTTGAAGTTGTTATTGTAAAACATGTGAGTAAAAATGCATGTTCCCAACATAACATATCTAACCTGGAAGAGTATATGTAATGGGGTGAGTGTTACTCAGGTTACACACAGGAGAGCAACTGTCAGATCACAACACAGTCTGCACTAACGAGGGCAAAGCAGACAACTGACAATTAAAGGGAGAGTAAAAAGTAACTACCAACAGAAACTTTATTTTTCCCTTAATTAATTTTACTTCCCTCTGTCTTCGTTTGGGGTTTTTTGGGGGTTTTTTGCCCTTTTTTATTCACCCACTATGTTAAATTGGCCAGTCACGCACCAGTATGTATGCCCATTGTCCATTTCATTAGTTACACATTTCGAGTACTAAGTTGGACCCCCTTTAGCTTCTGCAACTGCGTTAATTCTTCATGGCACAGATTCAGCAAAGTGCTGAAAAGATTGCTAGAATGATTCCAGATTTTTGTCATTATTCACATGACAGCATCACACAGTTGCTGCGGGTTTCTTGGCTGCTCATTTATGATGCGATGCTGCCATAAAGGGTTGGACATGGTAAAGAACAATACTGAGGTAGGTGGTAGTGTTCAAACGGTGGTTCCCTGGTGCTAAGGGTCCGAAGTGAGAAAACCAGCATCACTAGTCTGAACCTTTGATATGAGGCGAGATAATTCCATGCTTTCATTTTGTTTACCCCAAATTCTGACTCTACTATCCAAAGATTCTAGCAAAAATTGAGATTTTTTTCAGTTTTCTTTTGTCCAATTTTGGTGAGCCAGTGTGAATTGTAGCCTCAGTTTATTGTTTTTGGCCAGCAGGACTGGCACATATTGTCATCTTCTGCTGCTGTAGCCCATTTGCTTGTTCAGAGATACATTCTGCATAACTTAATTGCATTGAGCAGCTGTTTAAGTTACTATTGCCTTTCTTTCAGCTCAAAGCTGTTCTCCTCTGACCTCGGGCATCAACAAGGCATTCTGTCCTTTTCAGATCATCACCTGTAAAGCCTAGAGATGGTTATGTGTAGCGCAATACATCAGCATCTTTTGAAATGCTCAGACCAGCCCGTCTGGGGCCAATAATATTACCACATTCAAAGTGACTTAAATTGCCTTTTTTCCCGATTCTGATGCTCAGTTTGAACTTCAGCAGGTCGTCTTGATTATGACCAGTGTTGGGCAAGTTAGTTTGAAAAAGTAACTAATTATAGTTACTAGTTACTACTTCAAAAAAGTAACTGAGTTAGTAACTGAGTTACAAGATTCTAAAAGTAATTAACTACTTTTTTTTGTGATCAACATTTTATTGATTTAAAACAGGGTTTGGGGGAGGGGGGTACAGACATATACAGCACAACTGTAAACTGCAGTAGCAAAGCAAACATTAGCAAACAAGGCATAGGGACAGCAAAGAAAAGACACAAAAACACAAAGTTAAAACCAATTATTGCCTCTTCCAGGAGATAACTCTGGATGAGAAGATTTTCCAAGCGTCAACAGTCGCGGGTCGAGCTTTATTTAATTTTGCTGTGGTATGTTCAAAACCAATAACACGGATGAGACATCGTCTCCAGAATGATTCCATACAAATGTCAGGACAGAACCATTGCTTCGTAAAGTAATTAACTACTTGAAAAGTGACTATTGCGTTACTTTAAAAAAAAAAGTTTAACCCTCTGGGGTCCAGGGTATTATTGGCCATTTTTAACTACTTTTGATGTTTCTACATTTCACCTTTAAAAACTGTTTGTTTGCTTTGTTTGGTATCATTCTTTTCAGCACAACCTCACATGTCTGAATTTACAGTTATGTTTTCATTTTGACATACTGTATTTACACAATTGATCTAAAATTAGACAAAAAACTTAAAATCCGAGTAGAAAAAGTTATATATTTTACTGTAACAACCACAAACATTAATTAACCATATTTCATAACTTTAAATGCAAATATAAATTGCCAATTTTAAAATCATATGCACAGGTTTTGCAAACAAAGTTGTTTTCAGCCATTTCCTTTTTACCCCCTTTTTTAATAACCATTTCAAACTGTTTGCATAACAATCAGCTGTTCTGCATTCAATAAGATGCCACACAAATTATTTGTGCCACTCCAAAAAAATAATTTCTGTCCACTATAAAGGAGAACATCACAGCCTGATACCTGCAGCTCTGACTCCTGTTCTCTACCCGGAGACAGCAGTCACCTCATTGTTCTTACATAAAAAAAAACATAAAACTATCCACAACACTACACACTAACTACACACTCCAAACACGCTAAACGTCACAAATCTCTCACATCTCAAAACTCGCTCTCTCTCTTTTTCTGCTCTCTCTCTCTCTCTTGCTCTCTCTCTTTTTCTGCTCTCTCTCTCTCTCTCTCGCTCTCTCTCTCTCTCTCTCTCTCTCTAAAACTCCCCCCTTTTCCTAAACATCCAAATGTCATGTTGCCATATCGTTTTTGATTGGTCGACATGGTGCATTTTTCCACCAACACGAAAGGGGTGTTTTTTGTTTAGTTTTTTCTTTTTTTGGTCATAAGCAGAGAGTGCTTGCTAGTGCTGTCCTTAGACAGTAAACGTGACAAAACTATTCAGGAAAAAACACCACGTATATATTGTTTATCATGGCTCTGGTTTTACACGGCCTATCAACACAATTTAAAAACTGGTAAATATCACCTTGTTGGTTTGTCATCTTGAAGGAGTCATGTGATTGGCTTACCACGACTACTTTATTCTTCCTCAGTCAAACAGCAGCACTCATGCGATTGTTTTGCCCCCCTAGCTGCAGGTGTTGTGCCAAAAAGTGATCGTCACGCAGAAACTGATTGTCTGCTAGAAAGTGATTGCCGCCCGTGGGAGAGTGCGCAGGTGCTTAAAGCTAGCGCCCAGATTACCAGGTGTGCACGTAAGTGGTCAGCAGGTACACTGGCGCTGTCAAAATAAAAGATGCGCACCAGATAAGAAGTT